CCGGACCTCATCAAGACCTCCTGAGTCAGGGTCTCTGGGGGGGTGGTATCTTAGGATCCAAATTTTTAGTCATATTGATTTTAACACTACCTAATGTACGCTGGAGTTTGAGAACATGTACTTTTCCTTACAGGTGATTTTACATAAAGGATTCAACTGACAAGAAGGCCTTTTGTGCCCTCAGCATTGCTTCCCTCTTTTGTCCCCACTTCTTTGGGGGCTACCAGTGCTTTTTTGCTTATCAGTCCTTGCTGCCCTCAGGCAGGAGCGGGTGTCCTGGCTCTGGGCTCAGGGGATCTGCCACACATTTTCCGCCACGCTGAACTTCCTGTTCTTCCCAGAAACCTTGGCACAGGCAGAGGACAGTCAGAGCGTGGCGGAGGCATGTGCCCAGCTGGGAGACTTGGAAGGGGCTCCTGTGTGCAGACTCTGCGTCAGCCCTCTCTGCTGGAGAAAGTAGCAGGAAGTCCAGTGAGTCAGCACGTCGCTGGCAGACAGAGCCGGCCACGAGGCAGCCAGGAAGGACAGGCCTCTGACCATCTCCCCCCACCTAGAAGACAGTGGCTTGAAATCCTTGACCTGCCGCCTGACACAAATCCCTCATATTTCTGTGGGCACAGCCCTTTTTTCTGCCCTTTGAAACAACTCTTAGGAATGAACAAGAACAGTGTGGGCTTTTCCACTGAGATCATCAGTGATGGTCTCACAGGATGTTTGAAAGACTTTAGCCCCGTGGCTAGCTCCCTTGGTTCTCTTTCTTCAGACACTCCAGACAAACCACCCCAGAGTTTAAGTCAGAAGGATCCCCGTTATGTCCAGAAGGTCTAATTCAAATCCCCTGGACAGCAACTTCTGACCTGAAGCCCCTCTTTATAATTCTGGAGCCTCTAGCATGGCTAAAACCTGGAATCTACTCTTTCTTAATTGTTGCTACTTTGTTATTAGTAATGAGATGGTGGTTGCCAAAGACTTTTTCCCCACAGGTGAAACAAATAGGTTTAAAATATAGGCATCCCAGAAAAGATTTGGTACTTCTCAAACTTCAGGGTATAAACCGACACAAGAACACACTTCATGCAGTTCCTAAGCCATACCTCCTAAGGTTCTGGTTCCTTAGGTACAAAGTGGGGTCTAGGAATATACATTTTAAATAAATAACTCAAGCTATTCAAGATGTAGAGGCCCTGTGGGTCACACTTAGCAACACACTAATTTAAATGCACATCCAGGAGTGAATGGCTCATTTGAAGATTCTCTCGAAATGGCAGGGGCATTGGCTGGGGAGACAGATGTACTCTGATATTCCAGATGCCTTTGAAAGGGAAAAAGTCTGAATACACGACAGATGCACAAGTCTGACAAGGAATAGGCCTTGGTATTCCGAAAAATACATTCAAAGGAAATGAAGTCACGTCATTCTCCTATTTGTCTCCCGGTACCTACTTGCCCCTCAGACCTGAGGACAGCTTAGTCTTCTGAGCTTGCGTCTGATCAGAGGTCCCGAAGGTCTCCTCATGCCAGCCGACCTGGCTTCTCCTCGATGTGCTTTTAATATGAAGGTGACGCAAAGAGATGAGATTTGCTCTGAGGATTGGGTCTGGCATCTGATTCCTGTCAGAATGCACTCACTTCATTCCAAGGATGCGTCAGAACTCAAGAAATATCACCTCTATGTATTCAAGTAGACTTTAGCTCATCAGTTTGGAATGGGTCAAACCTTCTTATTTGCTTTAGTTTTTTATTTAGAGGTGGCATTCCTTGACATATTTGATCCTGTACACATTAGAGTGCGAAAATTGTCAAGAAGCAACTTCAGCTTGGTTATTCTGAAGCAGTATTCCACTTTTACATTTGGAAGAGAGTGTCAATTAATTTTTTTCCTACTGGTTTTACATTATAATACACCTGTGCATTTGCTGGACCACTCGGCCCCTCCACCTAAATCCTTACCCAACTCCTCGTACCCCTTACTTTCTCACTACTCACTCTGTATCCCTGACAACATCATCTACACCCCTTCTTCCTTATTTCCACCTTGACCTTCACAACCTCCTGGTCATAACAGGTCAAGAAGACCTGGGATGTCATCTCAACAATGAGTCTTCTAAAGTGACCAAAGTACCATGATATGCCATTGTTCCAGATGATTTCATTATAAGAAGAAGAAATCACAAAGAACTTACCATGTGCTAGAAATGCTCTAAACTCTTTGCAAATGTGTTATATTTGACCATCACAACAAGCCTACTTTTGTGGAAAGTGTTCTTATAAGTTATACATTTTATGGATGAGGAAACTGAGGCACAGCAAGGTTAACTAACTCAGACAAGGTCATGTAGATAGTCAGTGCTGAAATAAGGATTCAGATCCTTACTCTGTGCTCTTAATCACTGTGAAAGTTGATCATATGAATTGGCTCATTCTTGTCATGCCCAAATAAAACAGAATGGAGAAGCCAATGGGGAAAAACACTTAAGACACATAACATTGCTCCACGAATGTAGTTCTCTGCAAACCTGGTTGCTAGAACTACCTGCTATTACCTGAAACCAGTTTTATTTAATAGTAGCTGAAATGATCTGCTGCAGCTCCAACTAATGTTTTACCCACTGCCATCACTCACCCATCAAAACTTGTCAGCTCCCCAGAATCTTACTAGTGCCAATGTTCATTCCCAAAGAATAACACATAACGTTTCTCTTATTTTGAGTTGGAGTCTCACTCTGTCGCCCAGACTGGAGTGCAGTGGCCGCTCCCGGCCACCACAACCTCGACCTACCGGGCTCCGGCGATCCTTCCGCCTCAGCCTTCCGAGTAGCTGGAACTACAGGCACGTGCTACCACGCCCGGCTGATTTTTTTGATTTGTTGTAGAGATGAGGTCTCGCTGCCCAGGCGGGTCTCGAACCCGCGGGCTCAGGCAATCCACTCACCTCGGCCTCCCAAAGGTGCGGGATTACAGGCTGAGCCACCGAGCCCGGCTTAACGTTTCTCTTTTTAAAAAGAACTTCCAACCTTCTCTTTGCTCTTTAGACACACTGAAGATAACCTGGTCTGTGTGGATGCTCTGAATTACAATTCTTTCTTTCCAAATAAAAAGCTAAATTTACAGATTTGTTTCTGCATTTTCTTTTCTTTTCTCTTCTTCTTTTTTTTTTTTTGTGTTGGAGTCTCACTCTATCGCCCAGACTGGAGTGCAGTGGCCGCTCCCGGCCACTGCAGCCTCGACCTGCTGGGCTCCAGCGATCCTTCCGCCTCAGCCTTCCAAGTAGCTAGAACTACAGGTGTGCGCTACCATGCCCGGCTAATTTTTGATTTATTGTAGAGATGAGATCTCACCAAGTTGCCCAGGTGGGTCTCGAACCCACGGGCTCAGGCAATTCACTCACCTCAGCCTCCCAAAGCACAGGATTACAGGCTGAGCCACCGAGCCCGGCTGTTTCTACATTTTCATTTTGATTTTGACAGTCACTATCTATATTGCCCATTTAAGAGGGTAAAACAAAGACAAAAAACCAAAAAGAAAAGGCAACCCAAAACTTCCCAAATAGAAAAACATTTTTTTTTTTGAAAAAAATCTTTTTTTTTTTTTTTTTTTGAGTTGGAGTCTCACTCTGTCGCCCAGACTGGAGTGCAGTGGCCACTCCCGGCCACCGCAGCCGCGAGCCGCTGGGCTCCGGCGATCCTTCCACCTCAGCCTTCCAAGTAGCTGGAACTACAGGCATGCGCTACCACACCCGGCTATTTTTTTTTTTATTTATTTATTGTAGAGATGAGGTCTCACCAAGTTGCCCAGGCGGGTTTCGAACCCGCGGGCTCAGGTAATCCACTCACCTCAGCCTCCCAAAGCGCTGGGATTACAGGTTGAGCCATCGAGCCCAGCTGGAAAAAATCTATTCTTAAGGACATTTAAGAAAAGGAGACTGGATATTGCAACCTACTTTGAGACTGTACTCATTGTAGAGACAGAGCCATATCATGGTCTGCCATATGTAGTCTGTAAGTGTCAAGAATGACCTCATTTCATCCTCACCCTATTTATTGAAGGCCGGTGTAACAGCTTCTTTGCTAACTATCTATACACCAAAGAGAGTCACCCTTTAAACATGATCTGTTCTCAACATGCTGTGTCCAGAAGCCTGGCTAGAATAACCATATCTACTTTAAGGCATAGAAGAGAACAGATTTGCAGTGAAAGAGGGTTTTGTTGTTGTTGTTTTTTTGTCGAGTCTCACTCTGTCCCCCAGGCTGGAGTGCAATGGCACACTCATGACCACCTCAGCCTCGACCTGCTGGACTCAGGCTGGAACTGCAGGTATGTGCCACCATGCCCGGCTAATTTTTTGATTTATTATAGAGATGAGGTCTTGCCAAGTGCCCCAGGCTGGTCTCAAACTCCTGGGTTCAGGTAACCCCCTTGCCTCGGCCTCCCAAAGTGCTGGGATTACAGGTGTGAGCCAGCCTGAAACAGCCTTTACTGAGTCTTCCTAGTTAAAAACCCACATTGCTGATTCCTATCAGAATCCTGTTATGCTTTAGGGAAAGTATTAACTTAGAAGTTCTTAGCCTGAATTTTACTTCTGGCTCTTCCGCTAGTCAGTTGTAATTCAGGACAGATTGTAACCTCTCGGAATCTCTTTTCTACCTTTCTCATGTTTTCTTGAGCCCTAAATGAAAGCTGTAAAAGGAGATAAGCTGCTGGAAAACTGTGAGATAATATTACAGATTGTTTTAACACATATGATAATTATCATTATATTTGTCTTAAAGGCAATGCGATTATCTGCCGCTTTCCCTCCTCCATCTCCCAAGTAAATTTCTTGAGGGCAGGAACCATGTCTCATTCATCTTTGCCTCTTAAGACTGTTCCTGGCGTACACTAGATAATCAATAAATGTTTCTTGAGTGAATGAATAAACATAGGGAATTTTCAAGGAAGTTTGGAGGTCTCTATTTTGGTTGAGAAGCACCACCTTTGGAAGGAAAAGCCATTCACAGTACCTGCTTCAACCACGTGGTCCATTGTCGGAAACCTTTTGTACACAGCGGTGCTCACCGAGCGGAAGATGAGCAGGGAGGTGAGATTTACATAGCGCATCAACGTCCTTCGGAGCAGGCGCCCATGCTCGTCGCTTCCATGAACACTGCTGGAGATGAGGAACATCAGCCTGTCTGGCCAGGGCAGATTCACAAACTGGTTCCACCATCGGTTCACTACTAGAGTAACATAAAACCCTGTAGAATAACAGAAAATTATAAAACAATTACTTACAGCAGACATTTCGGTAATATTGATGCTTTTTAGCAGAATTTTAGCCTTTTAGGGGTTGGGGTAAAAAAATATGTTTTTACCCTACAGGAAAAACGTCATTTGTGCCTGGCAATGCTAGGGCACCCAGTAAGTGGGTATTAGATCTCAACCATTGACTGCAAAAATGGAGAGTTAGTGAAGAGAAAGCTTAATTATCCAGTAGCAGATTGTTACCTCAAACTTGTTTGGTGTTAATTTAGCGAAAGCAGCCCGGAAGGCAAACCTTATGGTTGGTTCTGGTTCTATTGCAAGCAGTGGCTTTTCAGGCATGCCTCTCAGCTTGGAAACACTCTCATGCAGAGTCACTGGTGTTATCCTAATGGAGACAGCTGTGTGGCTGCATTCTGCGTGTGACCTATACTTACCAAGCACAAAGGTTACTGGAATTTGTTCAGCATATCTGTCACAGTAAATTGATAATTTTTCAAAGTAACGTTTTTGGGCTCCTGTAAGTAACAATCTGAAGCAAAAATAAAATGCACAGCCCTTTATGATATTATACTTCTGCACCTGCTTTGCAAGTGACATTAAGTGCAAACAATTAAGCACAAATAATCTCAGTTTTATTTTTTAAGGAGCAGTAACGTTTTCCTTTTATTTTAAGCTGATGTGTCTCAAAAGCTTTTTAATTGCTTAACGTTTTAAGTACTAACACTTTTACTACGTAAATGTTTTTGGCTACTAAATAGTGGGATTTATTAACCATTTTATTTGAAAAACTTTATATTTTTAAAGTTTTATATGATTGCTTCATTGAATTTGGAGCAAGACATGTTAGAAAACAGTTCATTTTCAATTATTCACCAGAAGTACTTAAAAGAAAGTGTATTAAGTGTGGATTATCATTATTATTAATTGTTACATAATAACCTTGGATTTGAAAATACTCCAGAATAGACTACTTAGCACATTCTTGATTATACATGTTATACTTCAAGGGATATTATAACTGTTCACTTTAAAGCCCCAAATTATTTGAAATATAAAACAGGTTTAACAATAAGAAGTGAAAACTTTTATTATTCAACTTAATCCCTCTCTAAAATTTATATTATAGATCTGACCCAACCTGCCCAAACCCATTTTCTGGTATATTACTAAGTATAGGTGTATTTAACGAGACAATTACTGATGATGTAGGGAAGGGATTCAGAGTCAGAAGAAATGCTTCAAGTCAGGTTAATAATAATGTTCAAAATACAGGAAAAGAAGCCAAACAGATGAAATTGCATAAATCAATGAATATAGCGTTTCCAAAGGAGGAAGGAACCCAAGGAAAGATCCATCATAAAAATCATCAAGGGCCCATTTGGGTCAGTGGAACTTTGATAAAGGAAGCAGAGGGGAAATGTGGTAACAGTGAGCAACCAATCAGGTTGTAGGTGGGAACTGGTACTGACAGCCAGAAGGTGTGTGGGGTGCAGGGTGGGCTTGGAGTTCTTGCCCCACCTTTGGAAGAGGTATCAGAAACACTGAAGTTAGGGAAAGCTGACCGGAGAGGAACCAGATGATTGCACAGGCCCATCCAGATCATAATGATGCCAAGTTACAGCAGGAATGGTTTCTGATGCTCCAATAGAAATGGTCAAAGAGAATTTAAACGTGGAAAGCATGGACCTCCGGGTCAGACAAAGCCAGGTTAATCCCAGATCTGCCACCTACAGATTTGGACTCTAAGCATATTTTAAAAATCTCTCTGAGTCTTGGTTTTCTCATTTGTAAATGGGGATAATAAGACCTATATATCAGAGGTGTTATAAAGATTAAATAATAATATCTACATACATAACCACTTAACATATGGCCTCATACTTAGTTAATAATAAAGTGATTGATATTAAAATTGGCCAAAGAAAAAATATTTAGCTATTAGATGCAGAAATTGTAATAGCTAGAAAACACTAAAGAGATTATTTTGTCAAATTCCTCCAAGTATATAAATAAATATAATCAAATTAATGAATCTGGTACTGCCTTATGATTCTGTTAAGTATAATTATTTGCTTATAATAGAATTAATTAAAAATTTAGGGGATCACTAATAGACATGGGAATGAAATTGTGTTTATATTTTTTCACAGGTATTTTGACTTTCTTGATAAATCCCTCCTATAGTTCTTGTTATACCTTTAAGATGTAGGAATCTATTTTAACAAGTTTTTACACTTGAACTTTAAAAAAATGAAGGACGACTCAAAATAATGATTATTGTTATAGAAATGGGCACTCTTTGATCTTTAGAAAGAATGTATGCATATAATTTTATGGAGTATAAGTATGACACTGGAGCAAAAATTGAGACCCCCAAGGAGCATTTCTAGCTACATTGCAACTGTTCTAAGGCTATTCTATTCTAAGCAGCAGTAGCAGCAATAAACCCACATTAGTAAAAGTAAACTAATGAGACAATTATCATGAAACACCATTGTGTCTTCCACCATTTCATGTTCTGAAGGCTTAGGTAACACACAACTGTCAAAATAGTATCACATTTATAATAATATTTGAAAAATTACTAGAGGTTTTTAATAAGATTTTCCCTCTAAAGATATTTTGTCAAATGTATACCAATATATACACTTGTTTGGAATGTTAGTTTTGATGCATAGGAAAATAGCTCTTCTTATTTTACTTTTGATAATTATCAGCCAGCTTAATCAATATCCCCCTTTTCCAAATGGGGTCCTGTTGCTGTAAGAAAGAATGTAGGTGAGAGCAATGATACAAACAATTGTTCATCTGTATGGAGAAGAAAAATAACAAACTCATGTACATAGAAAAGGTGGAAATACAGCCTCAAAAACCTTTAGTTTTCCTGTTTTAAGTTTTTGCTTCCTCCAGAGAAGAAATGTAAATTGAAATGCTTTCAATTTTAGTTAAAAAAAAAACCTCATAAAGCTTCCCATTTATCATACTGATAAAATGTTACTAAGACTGTAATTTTTAGCCATAAACGTATTTTTTGGACATGATACTGCTCAAACTTCTTGTCAATCTGACAGGTTTATGTTGTGATGTTATAAAGAATATAATGACCCGAACTCACAACATAAATTAGGACCTCAGGCTTTTTCTTTATTAAAAAAATTTTTTTTGGAGTCAAGTTTTCCTTTTGTCAACCAGGCTGGAGCGCAGTGGCACAGTCATTCCTCATGAAACCATAACTTCTGGAATCAGGTGATCCTCTCACCTCAGCCTCCTGAATAGCTGGGGCAACAGGTGTGCACCATCGTGCCCAGCTGATTTTTTGATTTTTTGTAGAGATGAGGTCTTGCTATATTGCCCACGCTGGTCTTGAACTCCTGGGTTCAAGCAGTCCTCCTGCCTCAGCCTTGCTATATTGCCCAGGCTGGTCTTGAACTCCTGGGCTCAAGCAGTCCTCCTGCCTCAGCCTTCCAAAGTGCTGGAATTACAGGCGTGAGCCACTGCGTCCAGCCTGGGCCTTTTCTTTAGTTGAGGTACTACCCTGGTTAAGACCTTTTCATTCTCGACAAAAGGAAGGAAAGTTGCCTGATACACAAGTACACCATTCACGAACATGTTGATTACTACAAGCTGTCAAGTCACAAATTCAAACTATGAATGACAAGTTGGGGGAAGTACAGCTAATTATTTGTCTGTGGACATTGCCCATTCAAAATCACCACATAGTAAGGATCTAAGGATATACACATCTTCCATTTTATGCCTATTACAGCATTCTTGAAACACAACTGGGGCTGGAATGAGAGCCAGCCTGAACACGGAAGTTAACATCCTAAAAGTGGTTAGGTGTGGATTAAAATACTCCATCCTGAAGAGAAGAAGAAAAGGAGAGGTTCATGCAAAGGAGGAGGTTACATAATGCAAAAGTCAGTGGCAACCAAGGGGTTCAGATTTTTGAGACTGTATTCTTACATGATATTTGATGGTCATTTAAGGAGACATGCAAAGGAAAGTACCTGTACACCAAACTTATTGCTGTGTAAAGAACAGCGAAAACAATAAATTCCCTGTACAGTAGTTTGTAGATGCTGCCTCTCCACTTGAAGAGTAACCTATGAAATCCAAAAAAAGTCGCATTTGCTACTTTACTGGAGTAAGTGACAGTCATCTTGGGTAGTTTTTTTCTAGAAGAGCAAGAAGACAAAACACAAGTAAAAAGTACTGTTTAAGATAGGGCAATCTGTATATCAAAGGAAACCCAAACCAGTAACCAGTCCAATATATCCCTGTTTTTTTCTTTCTCAGTTTGTATAATTTGGAATTTAAGATATCCATTATCTCAGTGCCAGATCTTTCAGCAGAAAAGAGTAAAAAAAAAAAAAAGTCTCTGGGAAGGGTGATATTAGACATCTTAATTGCTAATTATCATTTTTCGATTATATAGCCATTGTTCAATACATTATTTGAATGAATAAATGAAACATATGAGAGGTTGTAATGTCACCTATATTTTCATATAAATTTCCCATGGGAGAATTTAAGGTATTGATATGCTATATCAACTGATATTTTATTTTTTTTATTTTTTTATTTTTTATTTTTTTGAGTTGGAGTCTCACTCTGTCGCCCAGACTGGAGTGCAGTGGCCGCTCCTGGCCACCGCAGCCTCGACCTGCTGGGCTCTGGCGATCCTTCCGCCTCAGGCTTCCAAGTAGCTGGAACTACAGGCGTGTGCTACCACGCCCGGCTGATTTTTGATTTATTGTAGAGATGAAGTCTCAGTCAAGTTGCCCAGGCGGGTCTCGAACCCGCGGGCTCAGTCAATCCACTCACCTCAGCCTCCCAAAGGCGCGGGGTTACAGGCTGAGCCACCGAGCCTGGCTTCATCTGATATTTTAAAAAATAGTGGTCAAACTCATTATCTGGGCTTCTACTTGCCAAAGTATGTAAAGAAGTATTTATTTCACCTTTAAGTTTCCTAAGGAAACATTTTGGCTCTCTTTTCAGAAGTCAGGAGCAACTGTTGGAAAGAACAAGGCCCTTGTGGAAATTTAATTGATGGGTCACTTTGAGTGGGTTTAGTTAGATGTAGATGTTGTCTGGTGGAGCTCTGGCATAGTTAGCACTCTATGCATTTCAAAAGATTGCCAAAAAGTTGGGTCATGGCGATCACAAGAAAGGTGCACTTTCCTGATGAAAAGTCTCATGTAGAATGCTTAGGGATGGTTGCATTTCCGTTTGGAACCAACAAATGAGGACATTGTTTAGGGCTCTTTCCACTGTAATCCATCTCATGAATGTGGTTAGGATAAGCACTGGGCCCTGAAGCCTTGTTTTCAGTGAGTTCTTTGGAATTCTGTCACTTCTCATGCAGACATTAAACATTCAGGTTTGGAGATAGATGGCCTGAAGCTAATCTTTGTTTGAAAAGCCTGGTCAGTTACTTGCTGACATGGAGCATATGCAGATAAAATGAGATTTTAAAAATATCTTGATTTTCTCAAAAGAATCTATGAGGGGAGTCATAGACCTACTCAGACTGAAATAATGGAGCTTTTAGGTAGAATTTGTACTAGACACAAAAAAATAAATTCTATAGCAGATTTCTTATATAAAGCAAACACACTTTATCATAAAGACCATTTTCTGTCTTTATCATACACTTTATCATAAACAAGACCATTTTCTGTCTTTATTCAACTCTGGGAGAACAATTAAACTCTAATTTGCTCATTTATACCAAGAAAACAAAACTCTTGGAGCTACAACTGCAGCATTTTTTACAATCACAAGCTTAACCTTCAATCTTACTGATTTCAGTAAAGAAACCAGGGCCTTTTGGCATAAGTAAGTGGCATTACAAAGGGATGGGGCTCATGCCACAGAACCGGCTTTATTTTTCCATCTTTCCCTTGTCTATTTGTCTAACGTGAATACAGCCAAAGTTAGGACAGGAACATAATACATTAAGCCCATTTCATAATTTGTCCTCATAGAAGCTCAGTAGTTTTAAATAACAGCCCTCAAACAACTTTCTGTCTTTCATTTAATAGCTCATTCTTCTTTTTAAGTTCTGCCAGAAAAACCAAAATCACATAGAGCTGAGGTCAGAATTAAAATGCATAGGTTTACTCTGTGCACTAACCTACTTGTTTGGTTTGGAGTCTCCGGCAGGAAATAGAATCTTCAGATTTCAGGCTCCCACTGATGAGGTGCCTTCAGGTCGGTGCTGCACCCTCAGTGTCACCCTTTGCTCATGTACAGATTTTCTTTCAGTTCTCCAGCTACTGAGGACCCAGAGTGTGACAAGTACAGGGGTTAAATGTTTTTCCACTTGTGGAGGCCTGTTTATGCCAATTTGCCCACTGATGACAGTTATAGCCGGGAACAAACAGAGGCAACAGCTGCTGATGTTGCTTTTTCTAATCTATAATTATAACTCCACCTGCCGCCCCAAGTACCCCTTTGAATGAGAAGTCGGCAGTGACATGAAAGATGTTGGGCCCTTTAAGTCTGTTAGATTCACTTGGACTCCATTCTGGGATTAAGGAAGAAAGGTCCATTTGCTCTTCAAGGGTTTAAGGAAGAGGCTCCACCAGAAAAGAAAAGAGAAGAAAAGAAAAAAAATTAGAACAGTCCTTTTGTGCTTAAAATGAAGACTAAATTCCATAAACCAGTTGGACAAGAATATAAATAGGACTTTTGCTTGAGAAGTATTGAGAATGCTCTTCAATTAAAAGTAACAGGTGTGTGTGTGTGTGTGTGTGTGTGTGTGCGCATGCATGTGTGGGTTTTAGAATAGTATAAGCATAATTATATAATGGCTTAGTGTAGTGGAAAATGATAACATATTAATTATATTTGTTATTCTTCCATGGTCAGTGTAGTGGAAAATGATAACACATTAATTATATTTGTTATTCTTCCATGGTCAGCTAGGAAAGTTTTTAAATTATTCAAAACGTTTTCTCTTAGGTTGATTATGCCAATATATTTTCTTTGTTAAAAGAGTGTTCATGAGTGTTCTTTAAATAATGGGATAAATAATTTTAAGACCAATTCCTGGGACCTTTCCAACATTCTAAAGTAACTTGTACACTAAGCATTGCACCTCAAGCTTAAATAAAATTACTACAAAAAAGTATATTTGTGGAGAAAGATCTAGAAAAAAATGTTTATTCTAAAATTGGGAATACATATAATTAAAATTTTTTCTAAAATATTCTTAAGTTTCATATGCATCTGGCTGGATTCTTTATTAAACTGTAAATACCTTAGAGCAAAGCCAGAGTTGTAAATGCTTTCAATTTCTTACCCCAACATTTATTCATAGTTCCAGCATGGAGCCCTGTGAATAATGGATATTAAGCATGTATTTGCTGTTTGACCATCACTTTATTTTCACTGTTATAATTCTGTTAGCACATTTGGGGGAATTTATGAACATTTAAAAAGCACATATACAATGCTGCACATTTTATCCTAATGTTTCCATGTCAGATAGACCTGATGCTGCATTTATAAAGGTTTGCAAGACTGATCAGTATACTGAATTTGAGCAAATACAATCCCAAATGCCTATGAAATAGAAACACTGGAGATATTTTGTAAAATCCTCACCCTTGCGTCTCCTACTGGGTATGTGGTGGTCCTGGCACTTGGCATAATTCCCCTAAGTCATGATTACTTTTCTGGGGAAATCTGCCTCTGTGGGGTGCTGTAAGCACTGTTGGTTGGTCTCATTTTTAAACAGAGGTAATTATGTTCGTCTCTCCTATCTGGTTGTTTTGAGGAATGATTAATTAATGGTTGGAGATGGCATTCTAAATGCAAATAAGTCAATAATGATTAGATCGAATGAACAAATGCCCATTGTTGAGCTCTGAGGTCAGTGGCTATTTCTAACAGGTATTGACAGAAGCCACGTAGAAATAATTTTTTAGGGGAGACAAGCCACTACAGCTTATTTCAAAGTAGCCAACAAACCTCAAATTGCAAAGTTCATGTGACATTCATATGACTTTTTGAAGAAAATTTTAAAGTTTCTTGTTTAAAATAGATATATTTTTCCAAATTGTAAAAGTAACATATTATTATTAAAAAATGAAAACAACATGTAAAGAGTATACTTTAACATGCCACCCTCAAGTGATGTTACCATTTGGCATAAAGTTCACCTTTTTAGACTCTTGTAGAAAATATTTTAACCCTATAATTGATAGCAAACAATATGATAGGCTCTAGGCAATTTCAGGGTTCTATGAAATAACTATACCAGTCGTATTTTCTTTTGACGGCAAGCATCAAGTTTTGTGATTCTTGCAGTCCAGGTAAGCACATCTGTCTTTGATTAAGTCAATCTCCAGTGACAGGATAATTCATTAAACAAAACAAAAAAACAAGTGATCATTTCTAGGCAATGGGAATACTGATATTCATCCCAGATGTCAAAATAAATTATCCCTTGTTTCTTAAGGAAACAGAAAATAGTAACAACAACAAATTTAGGTAGCCAATATCATCTCCTAAATAAACCAGCTATTTAAAAAGCTCTACATTCATTTGAAGCTGATTTATTACTCCATTGATGTGAGAAATCTCTTGCCAAATTTCTTCTGAGTGCTTAGTTGATCATAAGCATGTGTAGATAAAACTTTACATTTAAATATTAACAAAAGACCAGACATTGTTGTATTTTGAAGGATTTGATTCTGAACTTAAGACTTTTGGACTTTTAAAATGGAATCAATAAACGTCTTCGGTAAGAAAAATGTTTTTAAAAATTTGTGCTGTGCAAAGAGGGTTTGATGGATTAGAGTGGGCAGGGCTATAGAAAGGGAATCAGTTTGAAGGTTATTATGATGGTTCTGGTATGGACCGGGATAGTAGGTGAGTGGAAGGATGGTGAGAGAGACCCCAGAGGAAAACTACCGCCGAAAGAGGACAGGAAAAGGAAGGGGGAGGGACAGGAGGAGGAAGATAGAGAAGTCTGATATGACTCTTCTTTTGTTCTTTGAGCTGAAGGACAGACACTACAGAACATGATTCTTAAATTTGTTCAGGTATACTCTTCTTGGTGGGACACCACCAAATTTTGATATGTTTTCTTTGATCTTGCAAATAGAAATATTTTACTGGCAAAAAATGACTGCAAAGTAAAATCACAAGTGGGAGCTCATGTATCTATAAAAATCAAGCTATTAAAATAAATATGATTAGCTGGTGCTCAGTGTTTCTGCTAATACTTGTTTTGGGCACATATCCATTTTGCTATTTGCTGGTTATGTCTAGAAAAAGGACCGCAGTTAGTGCCAAAAGTTCAAGAAAAATTCTTAGGGTAAAACATAGAGAATAGCCATTATTTTTCTTTCCTCACAGCATGTTGGTTTTGTTGGTTTAAGAGCCATTACAGTGACCTTTTTTTCCTATAGGTAAACTTTTACTGGCTCAGTTGGATGCTAAACTTCTTGAGAACTTACACCTACTCTTTCTTGTTTTGTTTTGTTTTGTTTTGTATTTACTGGCTGTCATGATGAATATCATGGGTGCATAAAAAGCAGCTGGTTGGGGTGGCACTCTAGTTGTGTGGCACTCTAGTAGGTGTGTGGAAGTTTCTGCTACATGTTGTTGAATTTAGAACTCTACCAACATTCAAACCAGAGAAGGTCAGAAACTTCTTAAATTACTTATTTTTTTCTCTTTGATTTCAGGAGAGAAAGAGTGAACTCCTTGCCCTAGAAAGACTATTGAGTTTTATTAAAGCTGAAGCTCTAAATTCAAGAGAGACTGGATATTTGAGGAGTCATTATTACTTTCCTTGCATAGAGTAATTGCCAACTCAACAAAACAGAAATGCATTAGTTCATATTTTGAAGGTTATCTTTTTCTAATGGAAGGTACATAAACTTTGCTCTATTTTAGAGATGAAAGCTTAGAGTCTAGAGAATTATTACTACAGTGCTGAAAGTGTATCCTGTACTCAACAATCAATGACATTTCTTAAATGGATGGTACCGTTCGGCTCAAGTATATTCCAGGTTACTAAAGAAAAAATTGCAACATAGAACCAATTAAAAAATCAGCTAAATCTCACCAAAAAGGACATGCAAATCTATGTTTATTCCAAATAGTTGTGAAATTCTATTACTTCACCATCATGATGGCAGAAGGTGGTGGAAATGATGTCATTGTGTGAGTAAAGAGAAGACATAGGTAAACAGAAAAATGTTATGCATAAATATGTGAATGACTCTAAAACACCTTTTCTTATGTGGTGAAATACACATGGAAATGAAAATTAATTGTTCTTCCTGATTATCTAATATAGTGTATTGTGCATTCTTCTGACATCTTTTTAGCCCCTTACCACATAATAACTCCTTGATAGTGGTTATTGTCGAGAGACCACTGGGTTTGAGTAAGAGGGTGATGGAGAAACCTCAGTTTTTGCTTCACATATTTTGTATTTTAAAAATAGCATTCATATTTTCATATTTAATCATATAAAATGGCAAATCTGATTTGATGCCATTTCCGAATGTATACCTCCAACCCAGATCTTTTCACCAACTCAAGACTTATCTTTGCTAGGTGCAGTGGCTCGTGCCTATGCTCCTAGTGCTTTGGGAAGCAGAGGCAAGAGGATTGCCTAAGCCCAGTAGTTTCAGATCAACCTGGGCTAGTTGGCAAGCCCTGTTTTCTACAATAAAATAAAAAAATTATCTGGGAGTGGGGCAGAAGGATCGCCTGAGCTCAGCATATTGAGGCTGCAGTGGTCATCATTGTGCCCCTGCACTCTAGACTGGATGACAGAATAAGACTCTGATTCAAAAGAAAAAACAACAACAACGCAAAAGATTTACCTTGATAGTCCCATAAACATCTTATAGTCAAGGCTCAGCAAAGTATCCTGGCATCTAGTAGGCACTTAATAAATATTTATGGGATTAATAAGTGAATATATATATTTTATTCTTATGTCTAGCCCAACCTGTACATATAAGTAGTTTTCATTGAGTAATGAAAAAAAATCTCAACATTTTTCCTGTGGAGGTATGAGCTTGACAGCACTCCAGAAAGCTAAAGACAGATAGTATTCAGGGACTCCTAGGGCTCCACACTGTGGAATGATTTATCTGCATTCTGTGTGGTTACCTCTCTTCTGAGTTTCTATATCCTTAGCTAAATCAGGACTGTAGAGTAGGTACGTGAGTGGCTTCTTCCAGCCAATTCATCAGAAACACTGCCTCTCACTTTTTTTTTTTTTTTTTTTTTTTTTGAGTTGGAGTCTCACTCTGTCGCCCAGACTGGAGTGCAGTGGTCGCTCCCGGCCACCACAGCCTCGACCTGCTG